AGGGACCAGTCGGTCTCACTTAGTCATAGCTTGACATAGGGACCAGTCGGTCTCACTTAGTCATAGCTTGACAAAGGGACCAGTCGGTCTCACTTAGTCAAACCTTGACATAGGGACCAGTCGGTCTCACTCAGTCATAGCTTGACAAAGGGACCAGTCGGTCTTGAAACGTTACGACAAGCTTGATATCACTAAAAAAATATCATTGTCTTTTGCACAGGGGCATGCGTACCGTAGCATTAGATTCGTGCAGCAATGTCAAACGTTAATGTAAATACATTATTTGTCAGACCCTGTGATTGTTTATGTGATTATTACACAAAGTGTTTATATAATCACAGTATTTTTCAGTATCCTGTTAAAAGGCACTTGATTTTATAACATCACAATAAGAAAATGTAACTTTAACCAGAGGTCATCATAAAATAACAAGCTTTAATGTTGAATTTGATAGTTTAAAACGATAAATTCGGAACAATTGATTTGGTAAATGACCAAGGGTCACAATATCTGATTCTTATAAAAAACAATAAGGATTTACTTGCATTTTCATTAAATTTTTGATGTAAGTCCTTGTCAAACAGGCAGTGTCGTAGCGTGTTGCCATGGAGACAGGACGACAGGACGCCGAACGACCTTGCTACTGCACTGTGGAAGGATTCGGGAGTACAAACTCTTTTTATTGGCAGGAAATGATAATCTGAGTAAAGTCTGAAAAATCAAACGTTCAAAATATTTTATTGAAGCGCCAATCTGTTATGTCATTAAACAATGTAACATTTCTTATTCAGAACCGTCCAGAATCAGGATCGTTTAGCAACAACAAAACAATGGTGTTTAGTTTGAACATTTTCTTTTGCATGTACATGTATCCCATCGAAATTTTGTGATAAATTAGTGCTGAAATTAATAGTGAAAATAACTGCTTATTCATGAAAAACTTTAATCTGATATACATACTCTCTATTATTAAATGTATATTGGCCTATTTATATTTCGAATCGTTCATATCTAGTAACTTAATTAGTTTGACTTTATACAAAACAAGTTTATGGGACATTTAGACGAAATTTGTCTATATACAATCTACGTCAATAACTATACTCTTTGTGACATTTAAGATAAGACTCATGTGCGAGGTTTTATATCCCTAAGCTCATATACTTACTTTCTCAGAATAAATCATTACCTTTGTCAATCATTTTACGCAACAGGATAAGTGTAATAGCCTTTACCTTGTGGACACTGACCACAGGTCAAGTATCCTACAATAAGTGACACCTGTCACTCAAAGCTAAAATAATTTCCTTTGCTGTACATATTTAACTATGATATGATGTTTTGTGAGTCAGTTAGGTTCTAGACTCTGTACGGAAAACATCGAGTATATTTTGGACACTTCAGAATATCCCGCCGTCAAGTCTAAAGTTATCTCTAGTTAAATTTCAAAGTTAACCTTTAATAAACTCTTAATTGAGCGTTTCAACTATACAAAGCGTGCGGAAAAACCGTATGTTAAATGCAACAAACACAAGTTGTTCCATTTTATTAAGCTTTTTTTCGTAATATACAAAATGAGCTAAACAATTAATTGGTATATAATAAAACAAGAAATAAAGCATACCGTGTGAATGAAACTGAGTAACTTTCCATTTCTCAAAAACAGGGAATCATTATTTGTATACCAAAAGGAGATAAGCCCCGACAGTTTTCAAAAATTGGAGACAGATTTCTCTTTTGAATGTTTTATAAAAAATAGATTCAGGATGTATTGTAGAAAGACTTAATCAGTTTCAGATAAACTTAAACATAGTGATACAAAACTAGATTAATTTATGATGTGATGGAATAAGACATACCAGGCATGCTCCTTTTATTGACTTCGAAAAGTCTTTTGATTATGTATTATGGTTATTATTGTAGATTGATTGTTCTATGTGTATTTAATGCAAGTTATATTCGTGAACTGAGTTTTGCATCTATGATTAACTAGTTATTTTAGGAAAAAAATGATGTGCGAAATTTTGGTAAGATACATCTTATATTAAAGCCTTCTTGCAGAACAGAGATGCACATAACGTTAAAGAAATCTGAATACGCCTTGAAGGTATGCCTAAGGAAGAGAGTATAGATGTAAAGGAACGTAGCTGATGTGTAAATGATTGTCTGGAATTAGTAATAATAAAAAGACAGCAAGCATTATATAAAAATAAAAAATAAAAAATAAAATAAATAAAGCAAGCATTACCAAAACAAAAAAAAGAAGGAAAGCGAGAAGGATGGAAAACAAACAAGCATTGCAAAGAAGGAGAGAAAGAAAGCATTGCAGACGCAAAGAGCAAAAAGAAAGAAAGAAAACAAGCAACGCAAAGACAGGAACATGGAAAGAAAGAAAGAAACCATCGCAAAGTGAAAAGAATGAAACAATGAAACCAATACAAAGAAACGATACAAACAAAACGTTGTTTAACTGTGTTAATTTGACTACCTCTCGATGGGGTCCCGGATGATTAAGATGAACCTTGTGTCCGGGTTGATGTGGCCGATAAGATGTGGGGTTAGGATTCGGGGCTCCTTTAGACCATTATTTTGTGGAATATCTGTCCAACCACGGAAATCCCAGAAATCCACAGGCGATCCATCACCTTAAACACCAAAACATTTCCTGGAATTGTGATAATCTGAAAATGTACCTGACGTTCGAAACAAGTTAATAACAACAAATACCAATTAAATAAAACTTCGTTATAATGACATAATATCATCTGTTACTTTGTTTACCGCCAACATATTTCAATGTCCCTTTTTCTTGTTTTCTGAAGAATTCCTTTATACATTTCATTTGAACATTTTTCCTCGATTTTTCGTCAAACCCCTTTAGAATGCCAACAAATCGTGACAGTATAACGAGGTTTTATTGTATATTGCAAAGGAGAACAAATAAAGGACACAGGACATTGTCATTATATATTGCATTATAACTCTTTTATATAAATGTCAAGACTTTGTCAATATCACGCGATTTATTGTTTGAGCTTCCAGTTGTTTACTCTAGATCTAGTAATGCTATACTGTACAATGATATATTAATTGTGTAAACCAAGGCAGACAACGATCGATATTACACGAATTATCAAAGCAAACATATGGTAACGTTAGATACCAATGACAACCCATAGAAGATGGCTGTTCTGTTTCATTAAATCAGCATACACGATACATATATCATTTGCACTATATATGCTGAATATTATTATGTATGTAGCAGAACTGAACTGGATCAACGGTCGGGGACCAAATAGCTCAATTGGTAGAGCATCCGTCTAGAGTTCGGAATCTGCCGTGGATTTTGTTTCTCTCCTGCTTCAAGTATATCTTATGTTATGTGATACCGAAGTTCTCCGAAAAATGGTTAAACATTGAAACGTTTAGAGCATTGTTTTGTTTGTCTGCAAATCTGTCATTCACATACACTGTAAATGTAATATCAACGCAGGTCAATGCTACACGTAAATTGACAACGATATGCAAATAGTGTTTCCATGTATTTTGTTTCCAACTCATACCGGTTATGACGTCATGATACCCGGAAGCGTCTGTTGTCTCCTCTATGGTGGCTGCCGCTTCTCTGAAGAAGTTGATATAATAGTCAAAATCCCTACGTGGTACTGTCTTACGGAGGTCCAAACCTGCAAACACGGATGCGACATCAGTTCAGTATTCGGCCTCCAATTGTTAAGTTATCAAAGCAACTACCAATGCTGGGTCGTAGGTATTGGTCATGATGTTTGCATGATTAATAAAACAATTATGGCAATACCAAATCATAATTATATTTCAGATCAAAGTGTAGTAAACAGTTTCACTGAAGCCAGTCTTTTTTATAGAGTAACCGATTTTAAAATCTAGTCGGATAAGATATTGATAAGTAAACCTGTATGTACCGACGTACAGAGGAACTAATACATCTATAATCTAGTCGGATAACACAGTGTATAAGTACAACTGTCTTTACCGACGTTCAGAGGAACTTATCAATCTAAAAGTAAACCTGTCTTTATCGACGTGCAGATGAAGCGATTAATCTATAATCTAGTCGGATTACACAGTGTATCAGTTAACCTGTCTTTACCGACGTACAGAAGAACTTATAAATCTATAATGTAATCAGATAACACGATGTTACAGTAAACCTGTCTTTACCGACGTACATAGGAACTTATAAATCTATAATGTAGTCGGATAACACAGTGAATCAGTAAACCTGTCTTTACCGACGTTCAGAGGAACTTATAAATCTAGGCACAAAGTACTGCAGGGGGCAAAAGATCGATTTTGACCTTTTTCGATGTCGGCGAGCATCATGTCATATTTCACTGTATGTCCTTAAAGCCAGGTCTCGCTGTACCATTTATACGTGTCTGTTGTATATCACAATTTGTTTAAAATGACCGGGCACTGATAGAGTGATCGTTCAGGGACGACAGTCTTACCGTAACGTTTCCATGCCCACCAGAATGTTTCCTTGCCAATGTAACCCTGGTTACCAATGACGTGAGGGTGACGGATAAGTCTGTAAAATAGGTCAGTGGTACCGGATTTGTCGACTCCTATTAACTGAAAGTACGGCAGACACTGCAGCGGACGACCGGACACCCTCCAGCACGGGTTTCTGTATTCGGACAGAAAGTTAGGCGTCTCCTGCAACAATGACGTCATACTGCAACAATGTTGTATGCAAGGTATTCAACAGTGCAATCGTAAATGCGTAATAACATATCGCTACATATTTGTTGGGTGGGGCAGATGGAGATTGAGGTGTGGTGGGGTCTGGGGAGATCTTTTAAAGGTGTTTTATAACACTATATCATTGGCCCGGACGTTAGCGTGGAGGAGGAGGTCTTAATGTGAGACGAATCTGGGGTACCCGGAGAAACCCCACGTACTCGGGCAGGTGATCCCAATACCCTTTTACGTTCGATGGAAGAATTAAACCGCGGCCGCCTTGGTGAAAGGCGCTTTCGTTATCCATTGCGCCATTCGACCACCCGGCAGTTGTTGAATTTATACAACAAATATAAAAAAAAAACTGGATATACCTTTTATTTCATGCCTTGAATAACAAAATCAACAGGGTAGCAATGCATTGTTACTTGGGGGCCATTTTCCCGTAAGATACCTACAACATCACACAGCAAATCCTCTTGACCAGTCCTGACGTCACATGTGTACTTGTCTTGGTTGCCATCAGTCCCGGTCAGGTCCACAGACGTCCCGGATATGGATGTATTTAGATCAAGGGGACTGGTTCTAATCCAGCCGTCGTAAATAGCTGATTTTAAGAGAATGTTCAAACGTCGTACATCTTTTGGTGAGACATCATAACTGGGGTCAGAGATGACGTAATATACCACAGCAGTTATTGAAACGTAAACCACACATATGACCAGCAAAAGGAGTTTTCGCTTACGTCTGCAAGAAAAGATAATTAAAATATATTCAAAAAAACCATCGCAGTGCTTATTTACAGGAAGGATTACAAGAGTATTTTTATGAACATGATTTGATAAACACACACAGCACAGACCATAAATATCACAGACAAAAAGCACTATAAACAAGGGGCGACCCGATACAAAATTCTTACTACGAAAGGAGCGGACACACAAGAATTAACTTGAGCAAGTCTACAGTCTGCCCTACATTATACGTACACAGTATTCACCAAACCTGTCAGCCGATCAGTCATTGTTGTCGGTACAGGTGTAGCTTAGTCGCTACAGGTGTAACTTCATGTTCTTCAGTAGTTCCGGGAAGCTAGGTACGGTGCCAAGACCCGATGTCCTTGTAAACATACACGCATACCTCCCACATGCTTGCTACTTTCTCTTTAGTAGTTGTGTGTATATTTCCTGTTTACCGCCATTTTGCCGAAATGTTGCACACCTGTAACCTCACTACACTACACCTGTGTATCGTAGGTACGTGTGCACGCGCCCATTGAACGCGTCACTATACTGTTTACCTGGTCTAGGGTTACTATTAGACGTTATGTCAATAAGAGAACTCTATGGGACCTTACACTTGTATTGCTAGTCCCTTTATTCTACTACAATGTTAGGGGGCTCTCCCGATAGTGTACTATCGAAAGGTAAACGTACACACACGATATGTACTAGGCATTGTTATACAGGGACTTATTATAGAAGGGACTTTCTTTTACAGGCAGTATATATCGTACTGCGGCCTTTCATATATAAACTGTAACGAGGTTCATGCTTTTTTGCATCCAGTAATTTCACAGACAGAAAATAGACTCTGCTGGTGGATTTCCTAACCCAGGAGTTTTCCGTACCCTTAATAGCCATAGTTAGCTGTTTCATGTAATGGCATGATTCCTAATATACACCATTTACTTATGAATACTAGCACTCCTTTTTTTCATATCGTATCTATTACAAAAACATTCGGTGCATTCTACATATCAGGATCGGTATAAACACACCTTCTGTATCTCAGGTCCCTGTGCATGAGGCGGCGTGCGCCGTATATCTCTTAACTTTTTGTTTAAAAGCTTTCAAGTACGGAGCGGCTGAAGAATTTCCGATATTAATGTGGAATATCCTTGGATCACTACTGTAGTCATACCACATAAATATGTTTACAACATTGGACCACTTTACGGCATCATCTTTGCCAATAGTGTTATAACGAAAAGAAATTTAATTTCGTACAAAAGGATAAATAGGGTTAAATCTTTATGACTTGATTACAAAAGAAATGTATTTTGAATATCCGTGGGACATCCTTTGCACTGTTGTTATAATGGAGGTTATTACCTCTCTGGTGAGTGAGGCGAGAGGCGAGAAAAAAGGGGAATATACCGGTTCATCTTTTAAAAGTGTATACTCTGTAAATACAGGTTAAGGTATTTTGACAGTATTTGGCATTTATCATTTCCAGTCAAAGGGAAGTCAAATAGCTAAACTACGTACCCCTCCCACTATATAGCTACTACACATCGGGGCAGGGCCCAAAAAGAAGAGATAGACTCAAATGTTTACAGGGATACTCCTTGAAAAGGATCAAGGGAATTGGTGTTGTTATGCCTGGACTAGGGAAAATAGGAATATTAAGAAATCTTAACGTTATTTAAGGATCACATAAGCAAATGATATGAAATTAACGGTGCAAATGATCGTCTCTTGACCAATTTATATTTTTTTCGGACTGATTTCCAAAAAATAGGGGCCGCGGTGGCCAAGTGTTTAAGGCGTCTGACCTTCTGCTCCCACTGGGTCGCGGGTTTGAGACCTACGTGGGGTAATCGTCAGGTACTTTCCGCAGGTCGGAAGTTTTTCTCCAGGAACTCCGGCTTCCCTCCACCACCAAAACCTAGCATGACCATAGCTGTTTATAGGACGTAAAATACCAAACAAACAAACAGATTTCAAATCCATGATTCTATTTTTCAATTTCCTTTACGCTAAAATTTAACAAAATTCAAAGTGAAATTTCCTTTTACAATCCAAAGCATGTTATATTTTAGAAACAGAAATAAAATTAATATGTGGTTGTATTTGCCTCCTTGTTATAGCGCGGATCTGATGCCGATTTTATCGTGCTATCTCACTGAAATACAATGCCACCGAACGCACCCAGCACAGCATCCCGCCCGATCACATTATACTGACAACGGGTGAGGCAGTTGCTGCCATTGCCCTTAATGCTAAATGTGAAACAGAAAGTAACATTTATCATTATAAAGGACTTTGTTATGTCAAGGCATGGGGACAGAACCCACTGCCTTCGATTCCCCACCTTGGCGAACGCTCAACTTTAAAGCCAAACGTGAGGTACTGCCAAGCAAGGCGCAAAGAAAGAATAGGTAGTTAAAAATAGCGAGAAATTTATAGAGTCCACAGATGGCAAAGGCACATCGGATTTATTTTGGTGACTTTTGTGACTACAAGTAGAGGGCACAAACGCAAATCTCCAATTTTGTAGGAGATTCCACATTAATCGCGTTAAACGATCATGCAATGTGTTATGTCGATGATCAGACGCCATTTATTTCTCTTTCTTCAACAGCAAATACAAAACCTGTTGCCGGTAAACTTATCCGGATTCAAGTATAAACTAATGAAATAAACAACTCAATATTCGGAACGGGGTTACTTCCCCTTAGACCATAAATGATATAATTAGATATCTCAAAGACAAATATATATACATAACAAATGGATAACAGCAGCAGTAGTCTTTTCTCTATCCCCGACCTGCAGGGGTTGCCGACAAACCATGGCTGAAGAATGGCTAATGAGAGGGTTTTAGCCAAGCAAAAATATTGAAATGATTTATGTAAATCAATGCACGAAAGCTATTGCATAGATAGTATTATGTTATAGGAGTTATTTCCCTTGGTCTGTTTCAAAATGCTTTCTGATAAGACTCTCGGTGACCTTGCAACTCAGTTGAAGATTAGAAAGGTCATCCCAAGTTTTAAGGTTTTCCCTTATTTTCTGTATGAACACATTCTCTTGGTCTGAATTAAAATACCATTGTATTTTAAATTTGTAAATTAGGAAAACCCGTCGTAGATCAGAATTGGTTAGATATTATACAATAAGTGCATTTAATTTTTCGAATGAAAAGTGTTGGAAAATGAAATCAGCAGGTTTAAGATTTTTATATATTACTTAACACTTCTTACTTGACATTTGCAATCGTTTTTCAACATTTACCCTGATAATATTAACTGATAATACCGAAATCCATAACTTTACTAATGGATGTTTGGGTGGATTGTATTCAATAGTGGTAGAAGAACCGTGGATTGTCTTTTTCAGAAATATTAAGACATAAAGCCTCGATCTTATTCAAATATCCATATATTGAATGGATGTATTCTGCATATGATCAAAATGATAAATTTCACAAGAAAAAATGTTTATGTAAAATCATAATCTTTGATCTATAACAGAAATGCCTCGGTATCTTCATTTATGTTAAGAAAAGAAAATGGAGCAGTTAATATGATATTTTATTATCAAAGTACCATTCGTATGTTATTTGTTCAACTTTCTAATATTCTGCTCTTGAAATAAATGTATGACTTAAAATTGTCAGTCAATAGAAATAACGACTAGTCACAAGGGCAGATCCCTTATATACACTAGTGTATGTACCATCTATTGAAAAAATCTGTTCATACACAACTCTTCCGGAGGGAAAATACGCTACGTATTACAGAAAGGTACACGTATCATGCATCTTCAATTGAAACATATATAACATATGTAACATGCATCTTTAATTGAAACATACATAACACATGTACCATGCATCTTTAATTGAAACATACATAACACATGTACCATGCATCTTTAATTGAAACATGCATAACACATGTAACATGCATCTTTAATATAAAGATAAATAATACACACGTAGCATGCATTTTTAATTGAAACATATTTATAACGAATACGTGTAGCATGCACATATGAGCCGCCGGCTGGGATAAGGGTCCTTAAGCAGTATAAAATCAATTTTGTGATTTTTATGATTTCGAAATCTAGAGACATTTCTGATCACAATGATATAAAAAATATGTCAGTCCGTCAATATTTGATGATTTGACGCCACTTTAAAGATACGTCATACATAGAAGTATGCTATATGACTTCTGACGTCGCTTGTAACGTCATAGTTTCTAACGTTACTTTTAAGATTGATACCGGCGGGTAACATATGTATATTAATTTTAACTGCTTATTTCTGGCTTCACTCCAGAAGTTAGGGTTAGGGTTAGAGCATGATTGTAAAGGGAAATTCCAGAGCAGTTAAACGGAAATAATAAAATATGTTATTAAGTCATACACAAATACTGAAATGTAAAACAAATAGGGTTCCATATGACCATGGTACAAATAATACTTCTGTACTTTTGAACTTTGAAGACTAACATCTCTACAGTTTTCTTCCGGTTATAGCTGTGACAAAAATATGTTTACAACAAAATCTTGAATCAGTATTCACAAATCTATACCACTTTGTAATGACCATGACATACATGAAATAAAATAGAGATTTGACGTTGCAAGCGTGGTCACTGTCTTTTACGTCGCAAATTTGAATGTCAGTCATGCCCAGCTCAACGAGTTTTTAATGTATTGAAGATATTGTATCTAAAAATGCCACGAAGAAAACAAATCAAGAAAATCATGGCTTTCTGTCTGTCTTACGGATTAATTACACTTTCTATTTCTCTTTAGCGTATATATTCCTGCGACACTTTGGTCAAAACTCGTACAGGAATTAAAGATAAACTTTATTTATTTTACAACAATATGAAACAACATATTTCAGCTTATATATTATAAAAAAAATTGGGGGGGGGGTTATTGGAGGAAACTGGGTACCCAGAGAAAACCAACGTGATCGGGCAGGTGACCCCATATCTGTTCACGTCTGGTTGGGGAATTGAACCCCGGCCGCCTTGGTGAAAGGCAAGTGCGCTATCCACTTCACCAACCAACCACTCAGTACAGTATAATCATGTGTAATAAGTATTTGACCATTCTATTTAAGTTAAATATGCTGGTATACTTAGCCTCAGACTTTCCCCATGTAAATATTTGAGGTTGATGAGGTCACTTGTTCCAAAAGTACCATTTTTCATTTGAATGAAAAACTTCAAAATCTTGCTGTTTTAATTTAGTGATTGTTTTTCTCAAATATTTGTTAAACATCATTTTCAGAAAACAAAACAGGCAGTTTAGTTAAGGCACAGAATATGTTTTTCCTATATTCAATACTGGGTTTTTTGAAGATAATAAATAACTTTCCCATCAATTTATGGCCAAGGAAAATTTCAATACTCAAATCACATCACTACACATTTTGGCCTCACCTTCTACCTCCAGTGAACACTTTGACATGATGAGA